CTCTCCTGCTAAGAACTGTAGCCCTTTTCTGTTGTTTTTTTAAAAACCTTCTGCTCCCATATCCACCACTTCCACCACCAGATCCATAACCACCACCATAGGGACTGCCAGAGCTTCTTCCACCAAAACTGCCCCCCTTCATGGGTCCATAATTTGACTGCTGCTGTCCAGGACACACATGTTTAAATATCACATTATTTCTCTCCTGGGAGACATTGAAAGGGTAAATAAGGACCAAAATGTGTAACAGACATTGGGGAATAGAAAGAAAATATTGAAGTGGATAAATGTACTTTTTAACAACACAACAGCTTTTCTGTAGAGATGTTATCACTCTACCTGTTTTACAGAGGAGTTAACTGAAGTTAGGCTAGAGTCCTGATTTAAGAGTGAGTTCTGGAGCCAAATGGCCTAGCTTTTAATCTTGATTCTGCCATTTGTTTGTCCTGTGCCTTCGGCAGCTTGTTTATGTCGCTGTCAACTGGGAACATGATTGCCCTATACGGAAAGCATTTAGAACAGTGCTTATCGCATCATCAGTGCTAAGTGTTGGCTGCTGCTGTTGTCATCTCTTACTGGCAACAGCATTATTTTCATCGTTACCAACTCTCAGCCTGTGTGTATAAAATTATTTCTCTGTTTCATCATCTAAATCAATAAAATCTTACCATTTGTTAGGCTTGCTTCCTGCTCTTTCTCATGCCTTTTTGTAGTTGAGTTGAAACCAACTTTTAACTTGATCTAGACTCCTTCTTGCTTCTCTTCCTCTGTGCGTCTGCCTCAGTGGTTCTCTAAGGGGAATCTTTCCTGCTGATACCTTCACAAAGTCTATCTGATATAACCCTGTGCCCCATCTCAGCTTTTTAGCATGGCTCCCTTTACATTTTTGGTTCTTTATATTTCATTCTTCTCTTAATAGATGGGTTTTTTGAGACAGGGTCTCGCTAGGCAGTTCAGGTTGGCCTTGAGTTCACTTTGTAGCCTGGGCTGGGTTTTTTTTTTTTTTTTTTCTTTCTGAACCAGGGATTGAACTCAGGCCCTTGCGCTTGCCAGGGAAGCGCTTACTCTACTGAGCCATCTCCCCGGCCCAGGCTGGTCTTGAACTCACAGCGATGTCTCAGCCCCAAAAGTGTTAGGATTACAGGCATGCGCCGCCATGCCTGGCATGAAAAACTTTTAAGGTTGGAGCCTATATCTGGGCCTCTTTCCTGTCACTCATATATACCAAGAAATACTGTTGCCAGGAAATAATGTTGAATGAGTGAATATCCTTCTGGTACTAAATAGTCTTCCCGAAGGAATTTAATTTTCCAGTTATCTCTTTTGTTTAATTTTAGAAATGTGACAAAGTGGATGGGTATTAAAAGTATGCATTTCAGAGGCTACTTGTTGCCTGAGATCAGTCATAGAAAAAAGGTTTGTGTATGAGTATGTGCGTGTCGCTAGTGATCAAACTCAGGGCTTCATACATGCTAGGCAAGGACTAAACCATTGAGCCACACCCCAAGCCCTAGAAAAGATTTTAATTTGTGTCTGATTAGGATATATTGTATCAGTTGGAGTCAGTGGCTCACTTTTCTCCCCTTTGCTGGTGTCCCTGTAGGTCTGGTTTGCATGGACTGTGCTGAACATGGAATCCATCTTTGAAGAAGACTCCCAGCTCCGAAGAGTTGTTGAAGGGGAATTGGTGATGAACTCTGCATTTACCCCTGATCAAGCTCTGAAGGTGCAAATAGCAGTTCTACATTTGAGTGGAAGGAGATGGCTTGGACTTTTAATGCTGAGAGATTCACCTTAGTATGAGCACTGTTTTCTTTTGTTATGTATATTTCAAAAGCACATCCGCCATACAAATACTTAAAATACTCATGTAATTGAAGTGTATCTTCCAGTTGCCAAGGTTCTTTGAGTGGCTGTGCTGCTGGAGTGAGTGCTTCAAGGTTCTTTTAATATATATATATATATGTATGTATCCCCCCCCCCCCCAGCACTTAGGATCAAACTCTGGACCTTGCTCTTGCCATGCAGGCACTTATGCCACTGAGCTATATCACCAGCCCCAAGGCTTTCTTAACAAAGTCATAACCCAGTAATGTTCATTGCTTAACTGAAGGACTCACTGTTGTTCTGCAGCATTTGGCATTATGGCTCAGGTGAATCAGAATCCCTTGAAAAACTTTTATTGCAGATCAGATTCATGACCCCAACTTCTGAGATTCTGAGTCTCTTGTCTGGATTGTAAGTAGGAGTTTCTTTTTAGAAATTCCTCAGTTGATTGTTAGGTTCACTGGTGTATGAAGAAGACTGGAATAAGGCTTTAGATCTAAAGAGCTTCTGTTTTAGATACCATGGACTTAGCCTTGGAATTTCAGAGCCACTTAGGGAATCCATCATTCTTGGAGGGTTTTTAAAAATATAAATTTTCAAGATGGTTGTGCTGATGCACGCCTGAAATTCCAACACTTGGGAGGCTAAGGTAATGGGGTTGCTGTGAGTTTGAGGCCAGCCTGGGTTACACAGTGAATTCAAGCCTAGCTTGAACTACATAGTGAGACTCTTGTCTGGAAAAAAAAAAAAAGTCTAAAATCTAGGGGCTGGGGAGATGGCTCAGTAGAATAAGCACTTCCCTGGCAAGTGCAAGGGCCTGAGTTCAATCCCTGGTTCCGTTTAAAAAAAAAAAAAAGAAATCTAAATTTCCAAAAATTGGTAAAGTTGGGTGTCATATTGTTTTTATATGTCATTCTATTGTCTTGCTGTATAGCTTTTTGTATGTAAAGAAGTGTCAGAAAGGGAAAGAGCTTAGATTAGATGACTCTTAGGAACCATTATGTTCCTGGGCCTTATGACATGTCTTGACAGCAAAAAGCTACTCCACATGGCTTGTTGCCAAGGAGGTAGAAGTGTTAGTGGGTTATAGAAATGAATTTCATATGAATTTTGTTTCTTGCTGAGTTAAAAACAAAATGTTTAGTGTTTCACTCAGATCATATAGAGCAAACTGCAATTGTGTTCATTTTATGGTTGCTAAAGCCTCTTCTCTCTTGCAGAAAGCCCAGGCCCAGCTGAAACTTCCCATTGTGCCATCCCTGCAGAGGCTGCTCATTTACCGCTGGGCCCACCAGGCTCTAGTCACGCCTTCAGATCACCCACTCCTGCCACTCATTTGGCAGAAGTTCTTCCTCCTCTATCTTCACCGCCCAGGACCACAGTATGGGTATGGTACATGTGCCCATGCACCCAGTGCTAAGTCTGTGGTTTTTACATTGTGGAGTGTTACTCAGAGTCATTCTTTAGTGACTGATGACCACAATTTTCTCGCCTCCTTTAACATTTACTAGATTAAATCTTTTTGCATACAAGTGTCATGTGGGAACTCTTCTTTACCATCTTTCTTTACCATCTGTCCCTAGAATAGAGAGCATAGTACTCTAGAACTGCGCACATTTTAGCACAGGACTCTGAAGGTGCAAAGGAAAATTGCTGCAAACTAAGGCTGCATTTGTGACTGTTGTGGGGCTATGTGAGGGGATCTTGTGATGAATAATGCGGGTATGACCAAGGCCATGCCCTGCGTTGTGCTTGGGCCAGTGGTTCTACTAGAAACAAAGGTCCTCTAGCCAGGTGTAGCTGTCTGTTGTTGTAGATCCTTGTACCTCAGTTCCCAGCCCCTCCCCTTCATTTGTTCCTTGGAAACAAGATTGGTGATTTTTTGTCACTTCTGTTCTCTACCAGACTGCAAGTTTTTCAAGAGCAGAGATCGTTTTTAATTTAGCTTGTTTCTCTAAGTGATGATGATGCCTTGAATTTGTGTAGTGTTTTATTCCTTTTTTTAAAAAAATTAATTTTGTTTTCATTTTGTGCAGGGTCTCACTATGCAGCTTAGACTTGTAGTGATCCTCCTCTTGGGATTACAGGCATGCGTCACCATGCCCAGACTCTTGGTTGCTGGCTCAGTGCACCTGGGGGCGGGGCCAGCGCAGCATATAGTGCCAGGGATTGAACCCTGGTCCCTGTGCTTGTCTAAGCAGGTGCTTAGTCCCCTGAACTATCTCACTGGCCCCGGTTTTATTCTTTTAAAAACTAATTTCATGTAGTAGTCCCCCTATTTCTGGAACTTGTGGTATAGAACCGCCAGTGGGTGTCTAAGATCGTGCATAGTACTGATTCCTAGATTCACTGTTTTTTTTTTTTTTTTTTTTTTTTTTGTAAACACATACCTATAATAAATCCTCATTTTTAAATCAGGCATTGCTGGGCATGTGGTACAGTGGTAGAGCATTTTCTGCCTAGCACGCATGAAGCCCTGGGTTTAATCTCTAGCACAGCAAAGAAAATAAATTAAATATAATAAGAAATTAATGGGGCTGGTGAGATGGCTCAGTGGTCTAAAGCACCTACTTAGAACAAGCTTAGCAAGGCACATGGACCAAGGCTCAATCCCCCAGCACCACATGCCAGCCAGCCCCGCCCCCTGGTGGGCTGAGCTGGCCACACACAATAAATAAATAAATAAATAAATTAATTAATTAATTAATAGTAATAATACAATAGAACAATAATTGTAACAATTATAGTAACAAATTATTTAAAAGTTATTTGCCATTTCTGGGTTTTCCGTGTAGTGTTTTTGGACCACAGTTGACTGAAGGTGACTGAAATCACAGAAAGTGAAACTAGAAATGGGTGGGGAGTGATTGCATGCACTATCTTGTTGCATCCTCAAAATAAAGATAGAAGTAATAAATACTAATTTCATGGAGTATGTATCCAGCCATTGTAACTTGTCTTGTTAATTGTTTTGATACATGGAACATCTTGTGTTGAAAGGTTATAGATCTGTGTTTATATTTTAAGGTTACCGGTAGATGGTTGTATTGGAAGACGGTTTTTTCAAAGTGCTGCTCACATCAGTTTGTTGAAAGAACTGAAGAGGCGACTGACTGAGGTGGCTGACTTCCACCATGCTGCAAGCAAGGCCCTCCGTGTTCCAGCAGAGGGCAGCGAAGGGCTGCCAGAGAGCCAGGCTTGCACCTCTGGTTACCTGACTTCACCAGAGCTGCACACACAGCTAGTGAGGTGAGGTGGTTACTTGCCACTTCTGTTGTCCACAGTGCTGGTAGTGTGCTGAAGACTGTAGTTGTGGCACACCTTAAGCTGTTACTCTCATTCCTTTGTTACATTTAGAATGCATGGTGGCCTTGATACAGGTTTGCTCCTGGAAATACTTCTCATTTATGTTCCTTGATACATGTGTCACCCATTTATTTGGTTGTACATCTGCCCAGTGCCTGTAGTCTAAATGATAATCGGAGGGTTAGTGGTAGCTTCTTATATTTCTTTATGTAAAAAGAAATAAGCCCAAATAAATTTGTCACAGCAGGCAAATAACTATCAGAGCCTACTATAACAGCTCTGCAAAAGAAATAAATTTCTAAGGAAGGGTTCTTTAACAGTGGTTCAAATCCCTCTGTCCCTACAGGATGTCGGGATTTTGTCAAACTGCTTATCAAATCAGACATAGTATTTGCATGCCAAAAAGGTTGAGAGCTCTGAAGTAAATGTGGATTGTTTACATACTATTTCTTCACTTTTCATTTGTAAGTTTAATATGAATAAAAAATTAGTCATAAATAGGACTTAATAAGAATAGCTGTTAATCATGAACCCAATTAGAAGATAGCTTGAAAGGAAACCCAGCATTTCATACAGTACTAAGTCCTCAGGCTTGTTTGACCTTAGGTCCTTTGGGCCTACTTTCAGCGACAAGAATGATGCATCTCTTTATCTTGTATTGTTGAAGGAAAACTTTTTTTAAAAAATATTTTGTTTTTTGACATCCTTATTTATTTATTTATTTATTTGGTATCAGGATTTGAACTCAGGACCTTGTGCTTACAAGGTAGGCCTTGTACTACTGAGCTATACCCCAGCAAGAACAGCAGTGTTGTCTTTTTTTTTTTTTCCCCCCCCTTTTCTGGTGCTGGGGCTTGAACCCAGTGCCTTAGGCATGGGAAGCAAGTGCCCTACGAGTATGCTATAGTGCTGTTTTTTTTTGTGTGTGTGTGTTAGGAATTGAACTTAGGACCTTGCACCTGTCAGGTAGGCTCTGTGCCACTGAGCTCTATCCCCCGGCCTGCTTTTTTGGTAGGGTCTCATTATGCAGTTCAGGCTGGCCTTGAACTCATTTTGTAGCCCATGCTGGCCTTGAACTCACAGTGATCCTCCTGTCTCTGCCTCCTGAAAGCTGAGTTTACATGCATGTGCCACCATGCCCAGCTAGCATAACTTATTATTTTTCTTTTTTATCAGACTTTAGCAGAGGGAAGCCTGTGAACATTTTTAGCTTAGAAGAAAGTCTTTGTTAGTCCTTCTACCTTAAATCCCTTCTGAGGTATGTTCATAAAGTGGCCATCTGTCCCACTGAGTCAGAAGTAGGAGAGAAAACTATGTACATAGAATCCTCTCCTACCTGTCCATGTCTCTCTTCCTAGATACACTGTTCTGGAGGTATAGAAGGTAATTTTCCACTTGATTCAGTGAAGCTGTGCTGTGTTACCTTGTGGTTTCCCACCCAGTCTTTCTTTTGGTGCAAGCTACTTTCTTAGTGCAAGTAATGGCTTAGAATACCAGTGATTTTAGGTAAATGGACTATGTTCCTGTTAAAAGTAACACTAAAAGAAAGAAGACATCATTATATTTTTTACAAAAGGTTTTACAAAATTGAAACATTTTTGGTAAGCTTAGCTTTGTTTTATTTTTCTTTTTTTGTGGGGTAAACTACCAGCTTTGATGTTTTATTCCTTTTTAATGAAAACAGACTGTGCAATACAGTTTTATTTATAGTTCCTTAAAGCAGGAGGTGGCCATTGACTTGAAAGCTGGTGAGCTTTCCCAGTACAGAGGTTTAAAATAGCTTTTAGTACCTTCCAAGAACTAAGATTCATTGTGGCCACATTGCTTGGGAAAGCAAAACTTCAAGTTCAGCTTGTAGGATTGTGGTATAGTTACCTCCCTTTATTATTTTTTCTCTATACTATGTTTAAACATTTATTAATAATGTACCTCTCAGAGCTCCTTCAACAGACCTTTTGTTTTACCAACTATCTTATCGTAGTTTAATGATCTGTCACAGGTCTCCTGCTGGACTTAGTCTCTTGGGAGAGGTGATGGTTGTGAGACTTGTTTTCTGGATTGCAAGCTTTCATTACTCTTGTATGGTCTCTGCGCTACTTAGCAGTATAAGGAATTTGATTTGCCTGCGAATCTTTTTATATTTTGCTTAATTGTTTTTGTCTTTTAGGCTCTTCAATGTATATGTATTATGGCTAGAAGATGAAAATTTTCAAAAAGGAGATACCTATATCCCTTCTCTACCAAAGCATTATGATATTCACAGGCTAGCAAAAGTGATGCAGAATCAACAGGTAAAACTATGGCAGTGTCTTACTTTTAGCACCTCTGAATATAATTTGAACTAATTATAATCATAATCTAATGATAAAACAGCTTGTTGTTTTGGACTTTGTTTTTGTGATTTTTGTGGGCATAGAAATTATTGTACTGGGGGAATGTTTCCTTTTGAATCTCCAGCCCCACTGTGCCTTGACCTGAAGGCTTACAGCCCTTCTGAGGCTTTCTACAACTAAAAAAAAAATGTAGCCTTTTCCTTACTGTAACTGTCAGCAACTGAACACTTTTATTTTTTATTTTTTTTAGCTTAAAAAAAAAGAATTTTATTATTATTATTTTTTAATGGATATCATGTAATTCTTTAATACATGTATAAATTATATAGTTCAAATCAGTATGAACACACTAGCCTCCTTAGACACTTGTAGCTTATGATGACAATGCTCTAAATCTGGATTTCTGATGTATACACAACAATTTATGGTCACTGTACTGTGCTGCGGTGCACTGGAGCTTCTCCTCCTTCCTACCTGGGACTTGGAAAGCGCAGGCAGCCTCTCCTTGTCCCCTCCCCCAATCTCTACTCCCGCCTCTTGACCAGCTTCGTTGGATCTGTGAGGCCGGGTGGCGTTTGCGTTTCTCGGCCTGGCACACTTCATCTGACGTCATGAGCTTTAGTTCCAGCAGCACTGCCACCAGACAGGGACTTTTTCTTGTTTCCGTGGCCGGGTAGCGTGGCCTTGGGTAGCGCTGTGCTCTCCGCATCCCCACAGCAGTGGCGAGCGCTCGGTAGAGCACAACTGAACACTTTTAAGAAATCATTTCTACCATGAAAGGATTTTAAGGATCCATGCATTATTCAGGTCAGTTGCATGGAGGAGCTCACCTGTCTTGTATTTGAAGTGGCTTCTTTGTCAGCATCTGAGTTCAGTTCCCCTTTCTGGAACTACTTGTTTCTACTCTATGAGTTTTTTCTCTTGTGCCCCAAGATGTCTGTGATCTGTCTCAGACCCAGACTTCTAATCTCAGTTTACTCTAGCAGGAAATGGGGCTGGGTTAGGGGAGTAGATTGAGCCTTGGATGCGTTTGTCTAGGGTCATAACTCTATTGGACATTGATCCCTGACATCAAGATGGGATTTAAAAACCTCAAAGATTTGCAAGACTTGCTTGGATCCTTAAACCTGCCTGCTTTTATATTGTATATAGTATATCATCTCCAGTAGGAGTCTGACTTTTTCTGATTCCTTGTCCCCTCCCTTCTCCTTTCCTTTTTTACATGAATATTTATTGAGTGCCTTTTGAGTGACAAATACCTAATGCCAGAATCTGATACAGTGCCCTCGAATGAGCACTTCATTAAGTGGGGGACTGAACAATTGTTTATTGTGGACAAGGGTGGGCATGGAATGCTGTGGGTGCTGGGTGGATATAGAGGAATAGCCTGGTTTAGACTGCAGTGGCGTGATGGACTGTGAGTTAAGTCCTCATGGACAGATGCAAGTTAGCCAGGTTGAAAGGAAAGGCATGGGATGGGATGCGGCAGAAGGTGTTAACTGGTAGGAAGACTAGCTTGTGCAATGGCATGGCTTGTTCAAAATGATATGAGGCATAGCAGCTGAAAGAGGCTAGGAGAACCACAGGTGTGAATGGGGTGAAGTCACAGAGGACCACATATGCTGAAGAATTTGGGTTAATTCTGAAGTCTGGTGAGCTATTGAAAAAGTATGAGCGATTAAATGGATGAATTAAAGTATGTTGAGTACTCTGTAGGGTTTTATGACTGGTCAGATACGCATGGGTTCCCACCTTTCTAATTCAAGCAGCGAGAATGCTGTTTACTAGGAGAGGAAGGGCCTGCAGAGTTGAGAGAGTGCTCTATTCTGTACTCAGGGAGTTGCCCCGGAGGGGATATGAAACTAGAGTTTAGGAATGAGTGGTGGGGGTGTGGATTTATTGGTAACAATGTGGAGATTCAGAAGAGGACTGAAGGTGAAGCCTGAGAAGCAACAGTTAAAGCACAGAAAAATAAAGCTGGGAGAATAGGCCTAGTTACGTAGAAAAAGTGAGACATGCTCATGTCTACTTTGTATTACACACCCTAAATTCTTACTTAGTATTTGATCAATGAGATTAACCAGAGCAGCTAGGCATGGTGGTGCATGTCTGTGATCCCAGCACTTTGGGAGACTGAGGCAGGAGAACCGCAGGTTTGAGCCTGGTCTGTGCAGATCATAATTTAGCAAGACCCTATCTCAAAAGCAAACAAACAAACCAGGCAAGTAATCTGCAGCCTTAGTTCTTTGAGATTTATCCTGACTCCTCTGTGTCTACAGAATTAATTACTCTTTTTGATGTAAAAAGCAATTTGATGTAAACTTCTTTTTTTGATCTGTAAAGCAATGCTGGGTTGTTTTTGTCTTTTGCTCACTCATCTTTAACTTAGTGTTTGCTTTAATCATCAGCCTCTGTCAACAGCTGTTCAGTACAGAGGCAGAGAAGGTGACAGCGATTCCATTTAAAGATGAGGTGTCTTCAGTAAAAGGGTCTGCAATGAGGTGGTATAAATAAGATTCAGGATTGTGAGTGGGGTTACTCTGAAAGTGCTCTTCTGATTATTCTTGAATACCTGTCTTGTGGTTGGTTTCGCTATAAGAATTCATAGTAGTACCTAGTGGAGAGACCAGGACAGTTTTAGGTTTAGAGTGTCACTGGGTCTTTAAAACATTTAACATCCAAATAAAATCATGGCCTGTGAAACCATAGTCCACATTCAACCACTTGCTGTGATTCTTTGAAGTAGTTATTAATATGTGATGGTATTTGACAATTTTTATTGTTCGAAGGCAACTTTATTCTAATATGTATCATCTAAAGTGAAATGGTTTAGAATGTGTAAGATAGATCACTGGAGTGTGGGAAGAGAATATTAGTGTATTTGTTTTTGTTCTCATTTATTATTTACTGTATCTCTTACTGTGAATAAATCCCATCATATGGAAAAATAGACAAGTATGGTGGACATGTCCTTATACACTATAGATCTCATGCTGTAGCTCATGTGTTCCCTCTACCATATTATTTTGGAGCTGAATCGAGTTCACTTAATTCAGAAGGTTTTAAAAGGCAAGATTAAAATAACCCAATAGCATTTATATCTGAAAAATATTAACAGTAAGTTTTAGTATCAAATATCTCATCTGCTCAAATTTCTAGTTTCATAAATGTCATAAAATTTTTGTTTTTACTTATTTTTACAGTTTGAAGCAGGATACACATTTGTCATTGAGTGCTGTATCTTATCTGTTTAATCTGTAGGCCTTTGCTGTGTGTGTTTTTCGCCCCTTTAAAGAAAGTGAGTGATTTTGTCCATAGTTTCTCTGCCATCTAGATTTTTATTTTTATCTTTGTGGTGTAGCTATATTCCTGTTAATTGATACTTGGGCTTAGAAGCTTGATTATTTTCAATGTATTTATTTATTTCAATATATTTTTATACCTTTGTCTTCAGAGTGTCCTTTTTTTGTGCCTGTATTGTATATGCATATAACTTAGTTCAGTAGTATATGTATATAGTTTATAATATACATATAGTAAGGTTGTTGCAATTTTTTTTTATTTTTAGTCATTGTATATAACTTGTTTCTTGCAACTACTAAGGTTGTTAGTGGCCATTTTAAATACAACCATCCTCATGTGGGAGAATTTGGAGTGGATCACTGCATTGTGAAACTTACTGGTTTACTTTATAGTTACTACATAGTATTCTAATTGAGTATTATGATTTGTCTGTCAATTCAAGTACTATGTATGGTTCCATTGCAGGATCTGTGGATGGAGTACTTGAACATGGAGCGCATATATCATGAGTTCCAGGAAACTATTGGTCTTTGGACACAGGTCAAGCTTGAGTCCCATGCCACACTCTGCACCTTGTTAGCACAGCTGGACTTCACTGATCCGTGGTTGGGTGAGTCATGTGAGCATTAGCCCTTGGAATGAATGAATGAATGCATGCATGCATGCATGCATGCATGGGAGCCACTGAAGGTTAAGGCTTGCACACTTTATCCCTACCATAAGAATTGCTTTTCAGAAGTTCATTGTTAACTTCTCTATCATTTAGGTCTAGGTTAGGCTATAAGAGTCCTATCTGTATTAACAAGATAGAGATTAATTTTCTCTTCACATAAAACAAGTTTGGAGACAGGCAAACTTCACAACAGTAGGGCAGCTTCATGACTCTTGCAGGACTTTAAGGACTCCTCATCCTCCTCTCTTGCTGCCCTGGTGTTCACACGATTGCGTCTGCTCCTGGTTTAAGGTGGTTGCTTAAGTGTAAATTGTCCCCTTCACATACATGTTCCAATCAGCAGGAAAGGTTTTTTTCCCTAAAATAACTCTTTCAAGAAGAGGCTTACAGGCTTTTTATTTATACCTTAGTGCCCCAAACCAAGACCTAGGGCTGTTCATATATAAAAGGAGGAGGCTGGATTGCTCATAGTTCACTTTTTGTGTGATGCTTTGAAAAGGCATTTCGGGGTTGGCCAAATAGCTCTGTGGATTAAAGCGCCTGCTTAGGCAGAGGGTCCCTGGTGTGCCATGCTGACCCCATCCATTGGGTGTGCTGAGGTGTTGACTGAGACTGGGCGTGGTCACGCGTGCCTATAATCCCAGTTTTTGGAGGCTGAAAACTGGAGAATCACTGTGAGTCCGATCTACATAGTGAGACTCTGTAGACCTTGTATTAAATACATTAAAAAACAAAAACAAAAAAACCTCTGCTTACTGAAAAGGCATTTCAGTTTCCTTTTAAAGTTCTGTATTAAGCTCAGCTGTGTAAAGCACCTGCTTAGGCAAGCTTAGGCAGCTGCAGGGGACCGAAGTTCAATTCCCAGGACCGCATACCCTGCCAGTCCCACCCTAAGGGTGGGCTGAGCCCGCAAAAAATAAAACTCTGTATTAAGTGCAACATTAATGTTAATTATTTGGGGTTTGCAGTTTCAACATTCAGAAATCTGTTTTTCTTTTACATGCTCCTTTTTTTACTGTTTTTGGAGCCCTTACCATACATATGAATTACATTCCTAAAGTTTCTAAGTTGCTTTGTTCGTAGTGTGTTTTTCTAGAAAGATAGTGTTACAAATTGTTAGTTTAATGTAGCAGGCCATAAAAGACCACTTAACCTGCAGAGTTGCTAGAGCACTTCACAACAAAAAAAGAAAAAGATAGAAAATGTTATTTGATGGTATAGGAGATTGAATCTGTATACTTAACTGCATCCCAGACCCTTTTAAAAATGTTTTATTCTGAGACAGGTTCTTGCTAAGTCACTAATTTGCCCAGACTGGACTTGAATGTGTGATCTTTCTGTCTCAGCCTTTCAGAGTACTGGGATTACAGGTATGTGGCACCATGGCAGACTGATTTACTGAGTATATTTTGCAAATATAGGACATGTAATAAAATTGTAATTACAATTGTTGCCTAGAATACTAGAATAAGTAGTGTAATGGAGCAACAAAGTGATTCTGAGAAAGGGACTTATACTCTCTTATTCTACTTCTGCCCCAACCACCTTGTGAGTTGGACAGAAAAAGACCCATTCTGGGCTTCATTTCTTTCATCTGCAAAATGAAGCTGTTGAACAGTGTCATCTGAAGCTCCAAGTTTTTTTCTTCAGCATCCCTCTTTTTTATTTTTTCTAAAATAATATAATTTTTCTTATTTTATTTTATT